AAGAGATTAACTACTGTAAAAAAATTACCAGTCAAAGAATCCAAAGCTAGAGACAAAAATTGTAGTGAGGAATTAAGAAGCATCAGCCTTTCTCCAGGAGCAGCTAATGTCTTCCTGCGTGATATTTGAGCCAAATATGCTGATCTATTCTAGAAAAAGAAATAAAAACCTACTCAGTCCCTAGTTCTCCCTGCCTACTGGGTGCCGGTTCTTCAGTCCCTCCAGAGCCATGTTTCTTTCCACATTAAAGAGCAAACGTTAAGAAGAACCCCCACAATCAAGCCTGAAAAGAGCTGCAAGAATTATAGGAACTGAAGCCCACTAGAAAATCTAATAGGTCAGAAAATGTAGGTGTCAATGGCAGCATCAGCCAGGGCTTCCATTTAAAAGCCACCACCTGGAAGTTTAGCAGAAGTCGGGGATTCTGAAAGCAAAACCTTCTATCTTATGATGTTATGCTTTCATAAAATATACCAAAAACTAACTGAAATTTTGGGAAAAGTATCAGTTGAAGAAACAGGAAGTATCCTTTTGTATATGTACATGCATATAATGAAGAAGCTCCAGAAGTGGCACCAGCTGCACAGTTCCATCACAGTGATCATCTGCTTTTCCAAAATACTGAACTCTCAGTTGGAAACCCACTCATACCTTGCTCAGGTTTTGCACTCAGGCTGGCACTGAGTAATCCGCTGTTTAAGTGGTTTGACTGAGCAGATTGGTCCTTAGTTTCAATCTCAGGGCTGTTCTTATACAACCAGGAGTGGAAACAGACACATGGAGTCAATTTTACACGAATTTGCTCTTAGTCAAGTATGCTTCTGTTTTATCTGGTCCAGACCTTGAGACTCACTTTAATGAGGATTCAGTAGGGTCTGGAGCCTGGAAATTATATTTTAGCCTGGTGCTCAAGAGATGGTATTGCACAAGAAAGTTCAAGATAATGCTTTAACAGAGCTGCATAGTTTCTATTACTGATTAATAATTATAGACAAGGGGAGATTAAAGAGAGACAGTCTTCTTGACTGAAGGATGGATTGCTTTCTTCAAGCTGTTACATATGCCTCTTCAATCTCCATATTGGTCTAAACTCAATAGATCCAATAAGCCACTTGCTGCAGTGAATCCTGGCCTACATGCCTTGGGATTAATGCACTGCTGTTTGCCTTTGTCTGAAGTTAAGATCTGCTCTTCTAAAAGTTGTAGGAACTATCAAGGGGGTTTAGGTTTTCATTTTTGTTCATTTACATCCAAATGTAATGCGAGTACTTCATTTTTGTCATTGTTGTTACTCTTATTATATGGACCAAATGTTTTCAGCATTTCATATTCTTCTTAATTAGCAGTCTTTATTTCACAAAATCACAAATGATATGGGGTTGGAAGGGACCTCTGGAGATCACCTAGTCCAACCCCCTTGCCAAAGCGTGTCCACGTAGAGCAGGTTGCATAGGAACTTGTCCAGGCGGAACTTGTCCTTAGCTCTTAAATGTCCTCATTTTATCAGAAAGTCTGTTCTGTGATGAAATTCATTCACTAGAAAGTAATATCAAGATTACAAGAGGGTGTGAAGTTCCCTTTTTCTTGTTAATTGGAGCAACAAAATGAATATGCAAGAACGCTTCATGAAATATTGATCTAGTTCTGTTGCACCCAAAGTCAATATCAGAACTTATTTTCTTTTTTATGCACCCAGCTATCAAGGTTCAAAACAGCGCAAATGTGTATCTTTTTTAGTCCCTGGCTAGATATTTTGCTTTTAGTAGCTACTGCTGGTAGTTAAGGTGTCTTTCCATTCCAGTGAGCAAATGTTTTTCTTATGAATGAATATAATCTTTTGTCTGATGAAACTGAAATCGAGGAACAAAATCCACCAGGTAAATTATGGAAATAATTATAATAATTCCACGTAGATGAGTATTCTGTGGTTTCTATTTTGTTACAGACAACAAAAAGTTACCTCTTTGGTTGTCTTACAAACACAATTATAGCCACTCCAAATGCTTTGTCTTAGGTCTATCAAGGGACATTTACATTCTCCAAGCATGTAGAAGACGTTTAAGACCTTTAATTCCTCAAAATGTTGATTATTTATTCGTTATGAATAAGAAAAGTTTCTCTCTACTTCTGTAGATTATTCATTGCAGTAATGTAATATTAAACTTAATTCCAGTCAGCCACATGGAAAGAAAAAAACATTGGACCTTACTTTGCAGTGCAGTGTGAACACTCAGCCCTGTAAACAGCCATAAAAGCGACAAATCGCTTCAGGAATTTATAGATATTGCACTGTTTTTCTTCTCTGTTGCAAAGTGGTATATTATGTTTTTGACGAGTTCATTGCTAACTGTCCATATTCATTACAGCCAGAATTTTCAAGAAGTCCTAAACTACATACAAAACTTTGAAAATCTCTTGCCAAATGTACTTTACAGCGATTTTCCAAACATGATTAAAAGAGCTGAATGACTACTTCATTTTAACAAAACAATTACATTTTATATATAAACTAATGCCTAGAGGCCTTAGAGATTAGATTAATTTTAGCACACATCCCAGACTAAATTCTGTCCTTCTCCAAAAAGCATTCTAAAAGAGAAAAAAGTCTTTCTTTCTTCCCTTGTCTCTTTCATTCTATCTTTCTTTCGTTCTATACTCCTGACTTCTCTATCTTCTGTCATATACAATGATAAAAAAAGTAAGAAAAATTCTTGATGCCATGGTGTAATTGCATTCTGATAAAGAAGCTCCTGCTCCTTTGTTAGTATTGTCTTTTATCCTATTTATCATATGGCTAGAAGAGGTCTTCAAAGTCATCTCAGCCTTCCAATGCTCAAAAGAGGGATCAGCTGTATCTAGGCCAGTATTGAAAAATGTTTATTTAACTTTTTATTACAAAATCCAATTGCAGACTCAAAGCAAGATTTTCCAGCACTTACTTTTTCTTGCCATTAAAACGTTTTTCTCAATGCCTAATTTGAAACTTCCTTGTGACTGAAGTTTGTTTGTGTTCACCATAGTCATGGGAATGGATTATCCTTTCTGCTTTGCTTATATGAAATTTTCATGTCCCCCTCAATCATCTTCCTAGTTTGTTCAATCTTTCCCCAAAACAAATGTTTTGCTTTAATTACAGTTTCCTTCTTTCTGGAAGTGAAAATCCCCAAATCGGAGACATTTTTCTAATGCCCTAGCAATCTTGAGTAAGGCAGAAAAATTACTTCATGTGGTTTTGCATCTGAAAATTATGTTTACTTTTTTCACAACAGCATGACATTAATGAATTGTATTCAGTATGGTGCATATAAAGCCAGCACAAAATGTCTCCTTGTGCAGGTTGAACAAGAAGCTCAAATAGAAACCACCCAATCCTAAAGCAGGGAGTAAATGCGGCTTGGGAGGGCACAAAAACCAACACAGTGCTATTGTTTTTATGACAAATAATGTGGAATTGCCTTGCATCCAGTACCATGTCAGTGCACTGTAGCTGTGAAAACACTTGTGTGGCCTTTAAAGTAAATAGGGAATGTGAGATTGATTGCTAAACGTATAACAAGGACCAGTGTAAAATAAGTTGTACACCACTCTTGAGATGAGCCATGTTTCTGTGGCTACAGATGGATGATCCTGCTCTCGGTTAAGTTCACTACCTGCTGTGAAAAACCTGATGACATGATCTTCCCCTAAACTGTATGGGAGAAAGGGAGCTCCACAATCCTTAATTCAGGTTAAGCAAGCCACAGACGCAGAGCAGGTGGAACAAACAGTATACAGGTGAAATTCTGCCAATTTTTGAGGAGTTTAATCCTACATGGTTGTTGATTTTATGGCTGCCAACTAATGACATCCTTATCCACAGCATTATTTCTGTACTTAAAACTAAATGGAAAACTACTTTCCCAGATGAGGACTAGAAAGCTCAGAGTTTGTAGATCCAAGCATCTAACTGCTCTTTTCAAAAAATAATTATGTTCCACACACAATTTTAAAAGCTATTTGGGTCTTTTGCACATCTGTTCATGGTGTGAAGGACTTTAAGTAAAAAGTGAGTATGCAAACCAGAAATGTGTTTTATGCTACCTAAATTCCAAGAATCTAAAGTTAGTGCCTCTATTTTCTGCCTCCTGGGAAGTTCCTAGAGAATAATTTCACATTTATTTTTCAGGAATACAGTTTACCATCTCACTATTTTATTAAAGTATCCTTAGATACAATGACCAGAAATTTCAACACTGTTTAAAGAGAGACAATAAGTCTCCAACATGTCACTAAAACTTCTTTAAATGTCATCAGCAAAAAAGGACCTAAAGGTTCCTTCTGTTAATTTTCTCTTGCATTCAGGCATTTTTCCTTTATATGATTAAATATGTCATTCTACAGAAGGTGGTGAAGGCAATTCACTCTTCCTTAGTCAATCCAATGGGAAAATAACTGCAGTACAGTTAGGCCATTCATGCAGAAAATGTCTATACTATAGACCATTGTGTGGCAATTTAGAATATGCATAAAACAACAAATCCCTCTAATCCCTAGAGACCTAGTCTTTGTACATCCTTCCCCTTGATACCTGTTAAGCCTGTTAGCATTCTGGTGATAGGTTAGAATGCCATGATGGCTTGCTTACCTGGCACAATTTAGAATTTTTTCCTTTTTCACCTCATTTGTTCCAATTGTGGAGTTAGCCACACTGAAAAAACTCAACACGTGTTTATGTAATGGCTCACTGATGCTTATGTATAATTAAGGTTAAAATAGAAGGGAGGGTATAATTCAATCGCCAACAGATTTGAAACATCTTGCTGTAGATATTTCTGTGGTGTTCTAAACTGAATTGCAGAATTATTTCCCATACAGACCTATTGGTCCTAGGGACCTGCTGCTTGTTGACATCATCAATAATTTAGCATTGCAGATATCCAAAATAATAAATCATATTTTCTTCTTGTTCACAACTATGTTTGCTTTCAGACTTATGTCTATGTGTTCTTCTTTTTCCCCAGGTAATGCCTTTGTGGTGAGCCTAGCTTTGGCTGATCTGGTGGTGGCCTTGTATCCATACCCACTGGTCCTCTTAGCAATTTTCCACAATGGATGGACATTGGGTGAAACACACTGTAAAGTGAGTGGCTTTGTGATGGGACTAAGTGTAATAGGCTCTATTTTCAACATCACTGCAATTGCAATAAACCGATATTGCTACATATGCCATAGTTTTGCCTATGACAAAGTGTACAGCTGTTGGAACACGATGCTGTATGTCTCCTTAGTCTGGATATTAACAGTAATAGCAACTGTGCCAAATTTTTTTGTTGGTTCTTTAAAGTATGATCCACGCGTCTATTCATGCACATTTGTTCAGACTGCAAGCTCCTACTATACGATAGCTGTTGTGGTAATTCACTTCATTGTCCCCATCACCATTGTGAGCTTCTGCTACCTTCGAATTTGGGTTTTAGTGCTTCAAGTCAGAAGACGAGTCAAGTCAGAAACAAAGCCAAGATTGAAGCCAAGTGACTTCAGAAACTTTCTTACCATGTTTGTGGTATTTGTGATTTTTGCATTCTGCTGGGCACCTCTCAACTTCATTGGACTGGCTGTAGCTATCGATCCTATGGAAATGGCACCAAAAGTTCCTGAATGGTTATTCATTATAAGCTACTTCATGGCCTATTTCAACAGCTGCCTTAATGCAATAATATATGGACTTCTTAACCAGAATTTTCGGAATGAATACAAACGAATCTTAATGTCACTGTGGATGCCAAGGCTTTTCTTCCAGGACACATCCAAAGGAGGAACTGATGGTCAGAAGAGCAAGCCTTCTCCTGCTTTAAACAACAATGACCAAATGAAAACTGATACCTTGTGAATGTGTAATAGTCAATGCAGCAGTTTGTCAGGGAGAAAGCCAAGAATATCATTATAATGTTCTGGTCTTTCTTGCTTACTTTTTGGGGGCTTTCCATTTGGATGGCACTTTGTGACTGGAATACTGTCTTCTTGATAAAGCACGTTGCTCTCAATTCATGATTTATACAAGATATCAATTGAAAATGCATTTCAGGATTAAACCTTCACGTCAGTGCAAGCTGTTTTAGTTCTGAGACCTGAATTCTGCCCCCAGACATATGAATGAGGCATTTTTTTACTTCAGTGGGAGTCTTGCATTCTTTATACAAGATCAGGATACATTTCTTGGAAGATGTAGTGAAGGTAGTTGTCTATTAGCATGGCAGCTCATCAAGGCTGTAAAGTCATATTTTCCTCCCTGCTGTATCTGAACAAAAAGGGTGTGCAGATATTCTGTTTTCCACACATAAGCCAAACATCACATATCTGTGCATGTACAGATGGCAGTAGAAATATCTTTGAACCAAACTTGTAAATTGGAGAGACTTGTGTAAAAGCAAATTTTACCATTAGAGCCTTTCCTCACAGGTTTTCCATATTACATACACTGAGAGTGGGAACACAGTGTGTTTACTCTGTTCATCTTTTGTGGTCAATTTTATGATAGATAATATAATACAAATGGTTGATTTCTTACACATTTACTTTACGCTTTGTTCTTCCTTTAGAGAGGATTGAATTTTCATTGCACTCCTTTTATTTACCTAAATATATACATCCAGTGTCATTTGATGCACTTTAGCTCACCTTACAGATTTGCAACAGGCTGGAAATTATGGCACATGACCTGTGATTGTCTGGAATGGCAGCTGGACATCAGGCAGGATAACCTAGATCAGGTCAAATGCTGCTAGACCAAAAGAAGCAGCCCTTTTGACTATAGTGGTGGCTGAGACACTTACCTCACTTGTCTATACCTAATCTTGAACAAAATCCACTGTTGGTGTCCAATCTAAGATAATCTTCAAGCTTCCCTATTGTGGAGATACGTTTCCTTCCATCTGTGATGATGATAAACAGAAATTCAGAGATGAGATGATTTGCTTTGTGGAGGTGCTGGTCTCCTTTCATTACTTTAGAAGCAGCTTTGATTACTAGTTCAAACATCTCCCTTTGGATAGCTAGACAGGGATTAATCTTGCCTAATTTGGAATGACTCCAGCATAGGTGTATGCACACGATTTATTTTCTAAATTCCCACTGTAGCCAATGGAGTTCTAGGAAATGATTAATTTTAGCTTGAAGCAGGTATCTTTATTGGTCAGGGGAACTGATCGACAGAACTTGCTGACTGTATCTTCATTTACTGTAATGGAGATCAGGCAGGTCATGTAGACACATTTCAGGCATGTCAGTTAAAATATTTTATCATTAGACCATTGCAGCATTGTTCAGGAGAAAGGAGATAGGCCTCTGGTAAATCCATGACACATATTGAAATAGGAAAAGGAGGAATTCAGGTTGCTATTACATTCCACTTTGGGTTTCCCGATCTGGCTATTATGAAAAATATTTCTGTAGTGATGTTAATTTGTACACCAATATACTGCTCCTGAAGCCATAAAGACGTATTAAACATCATCCCTATGTTATGATACTTACAGAAAAACCCCAAAGAAACACAGTATTTTAAATGTTTTATTTGCTTGCCAAAAGTCTATGTAAAGTACAGCACAGTATCAAATGTGATGATTCTAGCTTATTTTATGTTCTTCAGGTAATTTCTGATAATCTCTGAAATTCAGTACCCTAGGACTCATAGCACAGTAGCCTGATGGAAGCTGAGCACTTTGTAAAGAGGGGTAAGAAAGAGATGGGAAAAATTTAGCCTGGTGATAGATAATAAAAATATTGTAGCTGAAAGTAACAATCATTAATATGTAGGTTCTACTTGGAACATAATTCTGTAAGACTGACAGAGTTTCAATATGTATTGTTTTTCTTCATGGCTTCCACACCAAGGTACTGAACATAGAACTAATATATCTGTATGTCTACATGTGAAACTCCCCTTAGAGTAAATAAGGAACTTCAAGAGTTTGAGAAACTTGCAGGAAAGGACACCACGTCCACTTCATTGACAATCCTGCTTTTTCTGACTTCTATGAGTACTCAAAATTGTAACTTGAATGTCAAAATTTATTGACTGACTTGTAGATGAACTAGTATTAGAAATAAATTGATTAACTTTTGTTTATCACTTGCTGATGTGAGTCAGAAAGAATACAGAATTTGGATCAAATTCCCATTACTCTTTTGGCTCCATAAAACAAATCTAAACATAGGAACGACTTTCTTGGCCATAAAAGTTAGCACCTATCATCCTGCATACCCATGGGAAGAAAATCTGAAATGTCTATAGAGTCATTTTACAAATTATCTCTGCTCTTTAAAAATCAAAGACTGCTTTTAAGATCACTGCTGGTATCTCCTCAACTATCCTGAGAAGCTCAAACATGTAATAGAATAGAATCATAGAATGGTTTGGATTGGAAGAGACCTTAAAGTTCATCTAATTCCAATTCCCCTGTCATGGGCAGGCACACCTCTCACTAGACCGAGTTGCTCAAAGTCCCATCCAGCCTGACCTGGAACAACTTCCCTGGGCAACCTGTTCCAGTGTCTCACCACCCTCACAGTAAAGAATTTCTTCCTAATATCTCATCTAAATCTCCCCTCTTTCAGTTTAAAACTGTTACACCTTGTCCTATCTCTATGCTCTCTGATAGAGTCCCTCCCCATCTTTTCTGTTGGCCCCCTTTAATTACTGGAAGGCTGCTGTAAGGTCTCTCTAGAATGTTCTCTTCTTCAGCCTGAACAACCCCAACTATCAGCCTGTTCTCACAGGGGATGTGCTCCAGCCCCTGATCATCTTCATAGCCCTCCTGTGGACCCCCTTTAGCATGTCTATGTCTTTCTTATGCTGGGGACCCCAGAGCCAAACACAGTACTTGAACACAGTAACAAATTTTTCAAAGAATGTGGTGTCCCAAAACTTGATCCATCCTCAGAAATTATGGAAAATTTTTGGAACAGTTTTAAATTATTGGATGTGGATTCTACCACCATCACATTTCCTGAATGTAATCCTGCTCTGCATGGTGTCTGTAAAGCCACTGGAGCTATTTAGTGTACTGGGTACTGTTATTTATTGAATGCTTATGTATGGACAATAAGTCATCCTGGTTAAATAAGTTTTTATACCACGTATTGCTACAAGACATTGCATGTGAGTTTACCTGGAAACCAATCAAATTCATAAAATTCAATTTTCCCTGGAAATCAATCAAATACATACAATTTTTATCAATTTACATGACTAAATGCATCTCTTGCATGGTGAAACCTCTTCATGTAGCAATATTTTATTTTTCCATATAGTAATGTACCCATCTATCTACATCAAAAGCCTTAAATTAAATTTCCCTTGATTCACATTTAAAGAAAAAAATATAAATGCAATTTAAAATATTACTAACCATCAAGATAGTGATATGGTTATAAGATGATTTGAATCCATTTTCCCTTGATTCACATTTAAAGAAAAAAATATAAATGCAATTTAAAATATTACTAACCATCAAGATAGTGATATGGTTATAACATGATTTGAAAGTATAGTCAAGAAGAACATATCAGCTCTGTACAGATTTATGTATCTTTGAGGAAATTATTATTTCCATAACATAAAAGTATTTATACCAGCATATCAGATATAGACACTTTAAGAAAAAAGAGGAAAAAAGTCAGGTAGACCCTGTGTTCTGCACAAAGTAACTAGTGAAGGCAAAACTAGAGCCTCAGGGACAAAGTCTGTTTCCAGAAAATTTGTTGTGTTGAATTTTAAACATTTAATATTCTCTTGTTAAAAAGTGTTGTATTTTCTGTTCATTAAAAAAAAAAAGTATTTTAGAATTGTTCTGACAATAGGACTCTGATTAGAATAAAACTTACCCTCACATAGATGGCTGAAGACCACTTGTAAATTCTATTTAAAAAAAAAAAAAAAGTATTTTAGAATTGTTCTGACAATAGGACTCTGATTAGAATAAAACTTACCCTCACATAGATGGGTGAAGACCACTTGTAAATTCTATTTCACTAAAGATGGAAGTGGAGGTGTGGTAAATTTTAAATGAGACTGAAGCAATGCATTAGCCTTATTGTGTCTCTCCATGCAAGTGAAAATTTCACATTCAAGGAAGAATTAAGACTAAAGATTCAGTCCTATTACTGTTGACTTCAGTGAGATCAGGTTTTCATAGCAAATTATTGATTGATTAATATAATTCTGCCTGGTTCATTTTCAGGGGCAGAAATGCACTTCTGTCTCTCCACTTCTTCCTTTAAGAACACATTTACATTAAAATGGTTACTTTTATTTCCCAATTGTATTTTTAAAGAACTGCACAAGTCTGGAAATTTGCCAATGAATAAAAATCTATGGAAGATTGTATATATTTCTTAATATGTATATAACACAATTTTGGTAATCTGAACATTTTCTTGCATTTAATGGAAACTGTGGAAGACAATTTATTTTTAGTCATCTATTGATATGTTGCTATTTTAACTGGATCTTGCACATCTGGTCTATAATAATAAAACGTTATTTTGCCTCAAGCTGTAATGAGCACGCAAAGAGACTGCTATGTATGCCAGTTGTAGAACTCAACCAATTCCTGTTCATCATCTTGTTAGTAACACCTCCAGCTGCAGTGAGAAAAATTATTAAAACTTTTTAAAATCTATATTTTTGTTAATATTCTTGTGGCATAGATTTACACTGGTGTAAGAACCACATTAAATGCATTGTCAAAAGACAGATAGTCTGAATTGAAGAACTGGAGCTGGAGGTTGAAAACACAAACCATGACCCACTGTGTGTTCCACTGGGCCTGGTCACAGAGGTGAAAATGTCACATTCACTCAATGTAGAGACTTTTCCGTTCAGCCCTAAGGGCTTTAGTCCTTGGGGACAGCTGGGAAGGTCCTATGGAATATTGTTGGTGTCTACTCACAGAACAAGTTTATCTCATGTCATTGTGCAGACAAAACCCCAAATGGTTCAATGGCTGCAGAATGAAGCCTTGAAATTGCTGTATAAAGAATCATTCTTTGAGAGAATAAAGAGATGCTGGCCACAGTAACAGCATTTTACAAATCATATTTTATGTCTGAAATACATGCCAACTAATTTTACTCTTCTGTAAACTTACTGAGGTTCCCTTTTACCTGCATGATAAAATCAACTAAATGCATGTCAATTGATATTATAGGCAGTGGTTTGTAACGTCCATTGATGCCAGCTGCATTTTTTAATTACAAGATAATGAACAGTGAGATTTTGTCCTTAGAAAAGAAAAAAAAAAAAAGTCATGTGACCATACTTTAAAATTGCTTCTTTGCAGAATTCCAAAATATAAAACTACATAGTTCTGTTCGAAGGTAGAAGATACTCTACTGCAGAAATGGACACTTTGCAGTTCCTAACTTTCAGAAGTCCCCATAAGACACTGAGGACACACAAAATGTGAAAGATTTCACAGTAATGGATTTCAGTGCTTTATATTTTTTCTACAAAACAGAGCTTCCCTGATTCCTGTGAACACAAAAGAAGCGCAGGAATATGCAGACCCAGGAAGCACTCCGAAAATCCTGCTGCTGGCCGGGATGGTCTATGGGAGGATAAGACCACAACTATTGTTAATAGAAATATGGTTCCTCCAGTAGATACTGTCACTGTCCCCTCTTTCTCATCCTCTGCTGACAGCAAATTTCCAGGGCTCAAATTTTTGACTCTTCACTGCCTTTGTACCTCTTATGCTGCACCCTTTTTTCACGTCAGAAGCAGCTTGGTCCAGCCTTGTTTCCCCAGCCTCTTCCCGGAGGGAAGAGATCCAAGTGAAAGGTCAAATTATGTTAGCTATGAGAAAATGGTTAAGTAGGCTCAGAATTCCTCAATGACTATGTCAACGATATTTACTGTCCTCCTGCTCTAGTGCTGCCACTAACATTTATATCATGAGATTGGATGCTAACGAAAACACCTAACTATCATGAGAACAGTGATAAAACCACAAACATTAGAAACAGAATAAAATGAGAGCATTTTGTTTCCTTTTGTTTTCTTGACGATATTTCCTGTAAGTAGTTTGAATGCTTTCATGACGCAAAGCTAAAACATGCAGTATTTTTCTTGGCTCCACAGAAAACTCAAAATAGAATGATAGAATCACAGAATACCAGGTTGGAAGGGACCTCAAGGATCATCTGGTATAAAAAAGTAGAGACTACTGGTCCAATGTATTACAAGTGTTAGTATTCCCAACTTAGACAAGGCCTCCCCATGACCAAGGTACATTCAAGAAGTCAGCTTTCCATTCCGGCTTCCTAGATTTTGGTTTTTAATCAGAATTAGGTTGATGGTTGGACTAGATGATCTTAAAGGTCCCTTCCAACCTAGATGATTCTATGATTCTATGATTTTTTCCACTGAGGTCCTGGGTTCTGCTCCCACCCAAATCCTAAAGGCACTCTATAACCTCAGGCATTTATGGGCCACATTAAAGCAACTGAAGAGAGGATATTTTCACAATGTGTGGTTTCTTGTTCCTCATGATTCAAAGGAACCTGAATCTTTTTGGGAACTGTGCTACCCAATTGGTCCTGTACTGCTTATATGTGTGGGTGAAGGAAGACCTAAGATGCAAAGCTGCTGTAAGAGTTTGGTGTGGTGACAGCATATACATAAGAATAGCTAATAAATATGAGCTACAGATATATGTGGACATATAATAACATACAAGTTCCTTATAGTTGTTATGCTGTAAGAGACTCAGCACAAGCAGGATGAGATTAAACTGTTGTTTGTGTAGTTGCAAAAGCACCATGAGCCTTTAGGAAGGATACAATTAAGAAATCAAGACATACTAGCTGTGTTGGAAGGTCTCACTTTAGATCTTCAATTTGTTCCATACCATGGAAATCTCTGTCTTGAAACTTCCCACTCCATCCTGTAATCCTATTTTCTCAAATTTAGGATAAAATGAGCACCTACACTGGCAGAAATATGATAAAGGTATGTAACACTGATGGTATAACACTGATGGCTATTTTATTTCTCAAGAAAAGCACATGGAAAAAATCTTTTTTTTTCCCCCTGGAAACATAAAGACACCAAAGTATGTTTGCAGT